GAGAGAGAGAGAGAGAGAGAGAGAGAGAGAGAGAGAGAGATCAGCAGACAGAGAGAGAGAAAGAGAGAGAGAGAGAGATCAGCAGACAGAGAGAGAGAAATCAGCAGAAAGAGAGAGAGAGAGAGAGAGAGAGAGAGAGAGAGAGAGAGAGAGAGAGAGAGAGATCAGCACTAGCAATGGATGAAGCATGGACTGGGGTAAAGAGGGAAGTGGTAAACAGGGGTAGGTGGCGGAGAACAAAGGATGAAAGGGGGAAAGGTAGGAGGTGGAAAAAGGGGGCGCAGGAAAGGGACAGCATCATCTGGATTCATGATCTGTTCTTAACTTTTTTGCTGTTAATCTGTAAAATGCATGGTGTATGAAAATGCTGCATGAACTTCTCCTTCTTCTTTAGCTTATGCGAAAATTTTGAGATTGCCGCAGAGCGAGTGGGTTGTGCATGTTATGCTGCTCTGTACATCTTCTTTAGCATACAGGACACTTTTGGAAAGTGCTGTGAGCTGTCCCTCACGTGCATTCGGATCGAGTGGACTGTGGGTCTGCTGACTTCTCTCTCTAGAACATGCTGGGGTGGGGTGAAATGCTGAGTTGTCCCTCGCCAGAATGCTGGGGTGGGGTGAAATAAAATGCTGGGTTTTGGGTCATGGTTGATCCATGCTGGGGTGGTGGGGTGAAATGAAGTGGCCCCCCTCACGGGCCTTCGCTTTCATCCCAGCTCACTTTACGTATTGGTTTAGCGATTCGCCTCTTTGGTGCTACAGGTCATAGGTTTGATTCCTAGTGAGTAGATCTTGGATTTCTTTTTTGTGCATAAAAAAAGACAAGTACATCTGCATCTGGTTGTCCTCTTTTTCTTTTTCTAACTTTTTTTTCCCCGTCTCCTCGACTTCTTTTTATGCAGGTGTCGTCAAATTCGACGTCAAAACTGGAAAGCAGTTCAAGAGCTACAGCAGGACAAACTCTTACACTCAGTATTTTGCGGAGGCGTTGATTGCTGAAGCCGAGCAAGACCAGAAAATTGTCGCGGTCCACGCTGCTATGGGTGGAGGGACCGGGCTGAATCTGGTATGGAGACGATCTCTTTTTGCTTCGAACGGCTTTATTAGCTTGTCCTTTCGCTACTGATCACCAACTTTCAGGGGAGAGGGGGGGGAGCAAAGGGGGGAGAAAAGAGGCAATTGCCTGTTCACATGTTCCCATTGCAGTGTGGTTATTGTTCGTTAATTCATTCTTATGTCGTAATGCGTCGATGCATCTGGTCCGGAGAACAGCCCAGAAGCGGGTCGGAGGGACTGCTGGTTTAAACTTTAAACCACCACCACTACCTTTCCCAGGGAGCGTCAAGACTTTAAGTCCTTGGACCACAATGGCTGGCAGCACCAGCCAAAAGGGGAAAAAAGTAAAAAAAATGCCGTGCTGGTGCTTCAGCAAAGCTTGGCACACAGTTCTTTTTCTCCTCAACAAAAGAAGAGGCTCGGAGGGACTGCCACTAAAGTTTCATGCTAAAATAACGTTTCATCGTCAAGAATCAGCAGAGGCCAGGAATTGCCTCCTTCAGTGTTTTCCCTCTCCTCCTTCAGTGTTTTCACTCTCCTCCTTCAGTGTTTTCACTCTCCTCCTTCAGTGTTTTCACTCTACTCCTCCATCCAGTGTTTCCTCCTTCAGTGTTTTCACTCTCCTCCTCCATCCAGTGTTTCGACTCCCTTCCTGACGGTGTCCACCCCCCAGGAGTTGGATATGCTTAGTACCCCAAGATAATCCCCCCTGCTGTGGGCTTTTTTGCGCAGGAGGCATCACTCAGGCACTAAAACTGAGGGGGGTCACTGTCAACCAGTTGTTCTGCTGTCACGTGTCTAGAAATATACAGCTACTGTCTTCACCCGAATAGAGCGCCCGGTCAGTATAGCTGCATTTGGCCCAACTTTCAGTCCAGATGCAGCGATGATGACCGGGCGTTCAATTCGTGTGAAGACGGTACCCACCCTTCCCCGGGTGGCCAGTGCCTGAAGGAGTCGTCCTGGCAGATCTAGATGCTACCAGGTAACCGATGACCAAGCCAGCATACTCCTCTCCTCCGTGCGGCGTCACGTTTAGGGAACTGTATGACTGCTGCTGTGCCCTACTCCAGATGGACATCGCCTGAAGGAAGAGTCCTGCCATATCTATTTGTTAGCTGATGCTCAAATCGAGGAGCAGATACTGAATGGAGTTGTTGCATGTATGTGCACTGAGAACATGCTCAGGAACATACCTGAAAACATGTGCAGAGAACATGCCTGAGAACGTGCCTGAAAACATGGTTGATGACGTAGAAGAGAAGGTGCCTGAGAATGTGCCCGCGAACATGCCTGCAAACATGCCTGCGAATGTGTCTGAGAACATGACTGAGAACATGGCTGCGAACCTGGCTGCAAACATGGCTGAGAACATAGCTGAGAGCATGCCTGATCACATGACTGAGAACATGCCTGAGAACATGCCTGACATGGGGATGCTGACTGAATGTGCTCTGGGAGCATGACCAAGAACATGCCTGAGAAGGTGCCAGAGAAGAGAACTTGGCCTAGAATGTGCCTAACAACATGCCTCGGAATGTGTCCAAGCACGCGCCTGAGAACATGATGGCTGAGCGCATGACCGACAATATGATACCTCAAAATGTGCTGAAGTATAGAATCAAGATTGCGCCTAAGAACGTGCGTAAGAATCTGCCTGATAACGCGACTAAGAACGTGACATGGCTGATAATGATGTACGGCGGTCAGTCGTTCTCAACTTGCATGGGCCATGCAATGAAAGCCCGTCTGAAACAGATAAGCTGCCCGAGTGGCTTACCTTTCTTCTTTTCGAAAAAGAGTAAGTCTCACCCCCACCAACACAAGATCTCGCTCCACTACTCTAGACCCACGAAAGTTTGTGACTTCGGCCTCACTCCACTTACTCTCGAAGGGCACTCGCGAAAATACCCTTCCAGAGTTCTCAGGAGGGGCGCTCATGGAAGCGCATTTTTCGCGAAGGGCACTTTCGAAGGGTATTTTTCCCAAAGGGCACTTTCGAAGGGTATTTTTCGCGAGTGCACAGGCCTGACAAATCTGGAAGCCCACTGACTCTTGAACCAGCATGCAACTTACTCTCGAAGCCCACTTAAGACTCTTGAAGGCCACTTAAGACTCTCGAAGCCCACTTAAGACTCTCGAAGCCCACTTAAGACTCTCGAAGGCCACTTAAGACTCTCAAACCATCGAGAGTGCACAGCATGCAACTCGCAGTTTTTTTCTATGGTGCTCCATCCTACCCCTGGTGCGGCCTTGTTTCTCGGGAGTCCACCTCGAGTCGTCGAGGTGGATGAAGGTGGTGGCGTTTAGGTGTCGTGTAGTTGTGCCTGGTAGTAGTTTTGAAATGTGAGAGTCCACGGTTCTAGACAGCAAGTGGAGCCATGCAGGCAATATCACGCCGGGCCCGTTTCCCGGCTTCATGAATCAAAGACATGTTTAAAAGAAAAAGAAAAAAAAGAAAAAAAAAAGAGTTACAATCATCTGACAGCTCTCGAACGACTCTCAATTTTTTTTAATTTTTTAATTTTTAATTTTTTTATTAATTTTTTTTTGGGAAACTCTCAATTTTTTTGGGGAGTTGAGAGTAGTGGAGCGAGACCCGTTATTGTAGCCAACTGGACTCCAACTCCTTTTTTTTTTTTTTTTTTTTTATAAGAAAAAGGCAGCCAGTGCCATATGATTCATGCACTCCGACCTGCTTCATATGGCGACAGCTTTTGAATCACTCAGGCCGGAAAACGTGTCCGGCGTCCCTGGACTCGAACTCTTAAAGCACACCAGTACTTCTCCTCCAGACTATTTTTCAGATCTTTCTACAACGCGGCGGCGATTCATGGGCCGTGTCTGGCGGGATGTACCGGCCTCTGGCGAAATAAACAATCAAATAAACAAACAAACAAATGAGTAACTAATTTACTAAATATTAAATAAATGAATTAATTAATAAAAACTGAAAAATGCTGAAAATGGTTGGTGGTGCTTTCCTGATGAACACAGTTCCAAAAGCGTTTTCCAAAGCGGACCTTCGATGTCGGGATCGCGGAGCAACATGCTGTCACATTTGCAGCCGGGTTAGCATGCGAGGGCTTGGCTCCTTTCTGTGCCATTTACTCCACCTTCCTTCAGAGGGGTTACGACCAGGTAAAGCCCTTTGTTTTCTCTTTTTTCTTTTTAACATTTCCTCCTTTCCCTTCGTCTTTTTTTTTTTTTTTTTTTTTTTTTTTTTTTTTTTTTTTTTTTCAAGTGTTGTGGTCCTTCTGGATAAGGACCATTATCAGTCTTTTATCTGGCTGGGGGTGATGTCATCCACTCTTATGCGCTCCCAGCCTGACACTGCACATCCCAAGAAGATTGTCTCATGCAACTCCTTGGCAATTTCCACTGACTAAATTTTTGCAATTTTTTGAACTCCTAATAAAAAAAACAAACAAACTGATTTTGCAAAGATGCCACCGTTGTTGCAACCCCCATTGAAAGGGCATCTTTGCAAGGCCTCGCGACTGCACTCGCACCTGACGTCTGATGTCACCATACTACGTTAGTTAGGCTGTACGGAGCCAACCTTTACATTCTGTGTGCTTGGCAATGCTTGTATGTGTTGTGAACAACCTCCCTCTCTCTCTCTCTCTCTCTCTCTCTCTCTCTCTCTCTCTCTCTCTCTCTCTCACACACACACACACACACACAC